TCTTGTTAGCCACGCTGGAGTGCAATGACGCGATCTCGGCTCACCGCAACCTCCGCCTCCTGGGTTCAAGCAATTCTCCTGCCTCAGCCTCCTGAGTAGCTGGGATTACAAGCACGCGCTACCACGCCCAGCTAATTTTTTGTATTTTTAGTAGAGACGGGGTTTCACCATGTTGACGAGGATGGTCTAGATCTCTCGACCTCGTGATCCACCCACCTCGGCCTCCCAAAGTGCTAGGATTACAGGCTTGAGCCACCGCACCCGGCCACCAGGAGTCCTTTAAGTAAATAATTACAATGCAAGCAAATGTCCTCATTAAATTGGGTGCTTCTGCAAAAAAAAGAGGAAATGAAAGAGGGTTTAAAATACTTGTGTAGACAGTCTTTATTCTTTCTTCAGATCAATGATCAGGACCAACAGTCTTTATTCTTTCTTCAGATCAATGATCAGGACCAAAACCATCTGACCACAAAAATAAATCACATCAACATTGTCACATATTTGGAGGAACTTCAAAGAAACTTTCCCTTACCTGTTACCGTCAGCTAGGAAAAAAAACCTGCAGGGCCTCCCAACAAACCATGTCTGATTTGGGAAATATATAAAAAAGACATTATTTCTGAGTCATGGCTTCTGAGATGAGTGGGATTACTTTTTTTTCTTCCCTCTTCCAAATTCTTTCCTTTCTCATCTAAAGTTTAGCTGGACTTCTAAATCCAGGAAACCTTTCAAGTATTCTCTGACAAAGCCCTGTGGAGGGTGTGCTTCTTCCGGACGACTGAAAAGTTGGCAGCCCAATTTGGATTACAGTTTCAGACTAACAAGTGAAGCAAATTAAGCACCCTCTTCCCCCGCCACGTGCGCGCACACACACACACACACACACACACTCTTCCCAAAATAGTGTCAGAACAAAGCAGAGGTTTCAACTAATTTGTGATTATATCTTCCCAGAGTTTGGTGTCAGACAGTGCTGCCTTGTGCACTGAACGATTTTGTCCTCCAAAGTTCATACGTTGCAGTTCTAACCCCCAGAGTGGCTATATTTGGAGATGGAGCCTCTAAGGAAGCAATTAAGGTTCTACAAGCCACGAAGAGAAACTGAAACTGACCATGCTGGCACCTTGAGCTTGGACTCCAGCTTCCACAACTGTGAGAAAATTAATTGCTGTTATTTAAGCTATCTAACACCCGGGTTTAAGTCCCACTTCCCCAACTTCCTTTTCATCTGTATGTTTTTCTTTTTCTTTTACTTTTTTTCCTACATCCTCACCCCTTCTTTTGTTTGTTTGTTTGTTTTTTGTTTGTTTTTTTTTGAGACGGAGTTTCGCTCTTGTTACCCAGGCTGGAGTGCAATGGCGTGATCTTGGCTCACCGCAACCTCCGCCTCCTGGGTTCAGGCAATTCTCATTTATAGGCATGCTCCACCATGCCCAGCTAAGTTCTTTGAATTTTTAGTAGAGACGGGGTTTCACCATGTTGACCAGGATGGTCTCGACCTCTTGACCTCGTGATCCACCCGCCTCGGCCTCCCAAAGTGTTGGGATTACAGGCATGAGCCACCGCGCCTGGCCCGTGGTTAGTGTTTAATAGCAGATTACATTTTTTTTGGAGACGGAGGTTTTTGCCGTTATTGCCCAGGCTGGAGTGCAGTGGCGTGAATCTCTGCTCACTCTCACCTCTGCCTCAGCCTCCTGAGTAGCTGGGATTACAGGTGAGAGCCATCATGGCCAACTGTTTTTTTGTTTTTTTTTTTTTTTTTGAGACGGAGTTTCGCTCTTGTTACCCAGGCTGCAGTGCAATGGTGTGATCTCAGCTCACCGCAACCTCCGCCTCCTGGGTTCAGGCAATTCTCCTGCCTCAGCCTCCTGAGTAGCTGGGATTACAGGCACGTGCCACCATGCCCAGCTAATTTTTTTTTTTTTTTTTTTTTTTTGTCTTTTTGTTTTTTTCCTTTTTGTGGAGAATGGGGTCTCGCTATATTGCCCAGGCAGGTCTCGAACTCCTGGGCTCAAGCTATCCTCCCGCCTCTGCCTCCCTAAGAGCTGGGATTACAGGCGTGAGCTACAGCGCCCGGCCGTTTTTTTGTATTTTTTTTAGTAAAGACGGGGTTTCACTATGTTGACCAGGATAGTCTCGATCTCTTGACCTCATGATCCACCCGCCTAAGCCTCCCAAAGTGCTGGGATTACAGGCGTGAACCACCACGCCCAGCTTTTTTTTTTGAGACGGAGTTTTGCTTGTTGCCTGGGCTGGAGTACAATGGTGCTGTCTCAGCTCACTGCACCTCTGCCTCCCGGGTTCAAGAGATTTTTGGAGTAGTATTTAAACCTTGGTTCAGATCCCCTGACTTTTTTTGTAATTATAAACAGGCAATTATCTCCAGAGTTAAAGGCTGTTTCAGCCTCCCAACTAGCTGGGATTACAAGCATGTTCTACTATGCCCAGCTAATTTTGTATTTTTAGGAGAGACGGGGTTTCTTCACATTGGTCAGGCTGATCTCGAACTCCTGACCTCAGGTCAACCACCCACCTCAGCCTCCAAAGTGCTGGGATTTTATAGGTGTAAGCCACCACACCTGGCCAAATTTTTGTATTTTTAGTAGATACGGGGTTTCACCATGTTGGCCAGGCTGGTGTCAAATTGCTGACCTTAGGTGATCCACTGGCCTCAGCCTCCCAAAGTGCTGGGATTACAGGCATGAGTCACTGCGCCTGGCCTAATACCAGATTAATTATTATCTTATTTTTTTTTTATTTTTTGAGATGGAGTTTTGCCCTTGTTGCCCAGGCTGGAGTGCAGTGGCACATTCTTGGCTCACTACAACCTCCATCTCCCAGGTTCAAGTGATTCTCCTGCCTCAGCCTCCGGAGTAGCTGGGATTTCAGGCATGCAACACCGTGCCCGGCTAATTTTGTATTTTAAGTAGAGATGGGTTTTTGCCATGTTGGACAGGCTGTTTTCGAACTCCTAACCTCAAGTGATCCACCCGCCTCGGCCTCCCAAAGTGCTGGGATTACAGCCGTGAGCCACCGCGCCTGGCCCCAGATTAATTATTGATAATATTTGCTACAGTTTGAAATTTAGACCAAAGAGACTCTTAGGTGGACTTGCTTGTTACCACACAGAATGCCCCAAGGCCACAGTAACAAAGGGGACTACCTATCTTAGGGAGGAAGGTCATGCCATTAGAAAGTTGTGGAACTTGGCCGGGCGCGGTGGCTCACGCCTGTAATCCCAGCACTTTGGGAGGCCGAGGCGGGTGGATCACGAGGTCAAGAGATCCAGACCATCCTGGTCAACATGGTGAAACCCCGTCTCTACTAAATATACAAAAAATTAGCTGGGCATGGTGGTGCGTGCCTGTAATCCCAGCTACTCAGGAGGCTGAGGCAGGAGAATTGCCTGAACCCAGGAGGCGGAGGTTGTGGTGAGCCGAGATCGCGCCATTGCACTCCAGCCTGGGTAACAAGAGCGAAACTCCGTCTCAAAAAAAAAAAAAAAAAAAAAAAAAAAAAGAAAGTTGTGGAACTTAAGGCAAAGGTTGGCAGAGTCATGGCCAAATCTGGCTAATTGCCTGTTTTGTAGGTAAAGTTTGACTGGGCCGGGCGTGGTGGCTCATGCCTGTAATCCAAGCACTTTGGAGGCCAAGGCAGGTGGATCACCTGAGGTCGGGAGTTCAAGACCAGCCTGACCAACATGGTGAAACCCCGTCTTCAAAAAAAAAAAGATAAAGTTTGACTGGCACACAGCTCTGTCCATTTGTTTTCATTTTGTCTATGCTGATTTTGTGTCTCAATGGCAGAACAGCAGTTACAATATGTTGAAAAACACGTGTTTTGAATGAAGAGACCTTCCAAACAGGTCTTGTGTGAGCAACATGGCTGTTTATTCACCTGGGTGCAGGTGGGCTAAGGCCGAAAGGGGCATTAGCAAAGGGCAGTGGGATAGGAGTTGGTTTTATAGGTTTGGGTAGTTTTTTGGGGGCCGGGAGTGTTGCAGAGTAAGTTCAGTTACAGTGGTGGGGGTTAGGGGCAAGGTCATGTATACATGACCACAAGTACAGTTACAATGACAGGGTTGGGTGAGAGGTATTTACATTATCCTAAGAACAGTTAAGATGGCAGTGTTGGGTGAGAGGTATTTACATTATCATAAGAACAGTTAAGATGGCAGGGTTGGTTGAGAGTATTTACATTATCATAAGAACAGTGGGGAAGACGGCAGGGTTGGGTAAGGGGCTTGTCTGCTGAAGCTCTGCCACTGGGGGATCAGGGACAATGGCGAATGCAGGCAGGGGGTGGGAGATATCAGACGGGGCAGGCAGGACTTCAGACTTTCAGGCTCCAGGTTTCCATATGGAGACCTGACACAACCCAGACCATATAGTCCAGCGTCCCCAGCCTTTTGGTCATCAGGGAGTGGTTTCATGGAAGACTGTTTTTCCATGGATGGGAACGGTGGGGGAGGATGGTTTTGGAATGAAGCTATTCCAGCTCAGATCATCAGGCATTAGTTGTCACGAGGAGCATGTAACTTAGATCCCTCACATGCACAGTTCACAATAGGGTTCATGTTCCTATGAGAATCTGAGGGCACAGCGGATCTCACAGGAGGTGGAGCTTAGGCGGTAATGCTCGCTTGCTTGCTCACCTGCCACTCAACTACTGCTGCGTGGCCCAGTTCCTAACAGGTTGGAGACTCCTAATATAGTCCACAAAGCTGAAAATATTCACTACCAGGCCCTTTGCAGAAAAAAGTTTTTGGATCCCTCTTCGTAGGGCCTCAGACTGGCCCCATCTCTACCTCTTCATCCATTAGCCTACACTAGGGTCATGTATCAAGTATCAGATGAAGAACTGATCACCCAAGCTCTTGACTAGGCTGTTTCTTCCCACAGGACAAACATTCCCATCCATTAATGCTTGAACCACAGGCTTAATTAAGACAATATAAATGGTTAAACCTTATCTATTCCCAATTAGCAGAAGCCAGAAAAGAAATATACAATAACTTTATTTTTCAAACTTTGAACTATTAACAATTAGAGTGGAATCTTCTTTAACTTGATCTTTTCTTCTATATTTGAAAAGTATCTCATCTTTGTCAAAATTTCCTTGGCTTCTTCAAAGTCATCTGAAAGAGACAGAGACACGGAAGTCAGGCTTCAGAATAGAACCAACTCTGATGACTAGGGAAGCCATATGTAAGTGGAGTTCTGTGGTCTGGAGGGCCCATTAAAAACAAAACAAAACAAAAAAAAAAAACAGAGAAATGTAGATTCTTTTTATTTATTTTTCTTTTCTTTCTTTTTTTTTTTTTTGAGATGGAGTTTTGCTCCTGTTACCCAGGCTGGAGTGCAATGGCACGATCTCGGCTCAACGCAACCTCTGCCTCCTGGGTTCAGGCAATTCTCCTGTCTCAGCCTCCCGAGTAGCTGGGATTACAGGCACGCACCACCATGCCCAGCTAATTTTTTGCATTTTTAGTAGAGACGAGGTTTCACCTTGTTGACCAGGATGGTCTCGATCTCTTGACCTTGTGATCCACCCGCCTCGGCCTCCCAAAGTGCTGGGATTACAGGCGTGAGCCACCACGCCCGGCCTTTTTTTTTTTTTTTTAAATTGTGTAAGTTAATACTAAAAGAAATGTAGATTCTTTTAATTTTTTTAAAAAATAAGATGGGGTTTCATTAAGATGGCCAGGCTGGTCTTGAACTCCTGACCTCAGGTGATCCACCTACTTCGGCCTGCCAAAGTGCTAGGATTACAGGCGTGAGCCACCGCACCTGAAAGGTGGATCCTTTTTTTTTTTTTTTTTTGAGATGGAGTTTTGCTCGTTACGCAGGCTGGAGTGCAATGGCACGATCTCGGCTCACCGCAACCTCCGCCTCCTGGGTTCAGGTGGTTCTCCTGTCTCAGCCTCCTGAGTAGCTGGGATTACAGGCACACGCCACCATGCTCAGCTAATTTTTGGTATTTTTAGTAGAGACGGGGTTTCACCATGTTCACCAGGATGGCCTTGATCTCCTGACCTCGTGATCCACCCGCCTCGGCCTTCCAAAGTGCTGGGATTACAGGCATGAGCCACTGCGCCCGGCCGAAATGTAGATTCTTAAAGGCATTCCTTTTTTTTCTTTTTTCTTTTCTTTTTTTTTTTTTTTTTGAGACGGAGTTTCGCTCTTGTTACCCAGGTTGGAGTGCAATGGCGCGATCTCGGCCCACCGCAACCTCCGCCTCCTAGGTTCAGGCAATTCTCCTGCCTCAGCCTCCTGAGTAGCTGGGATTACAGGCACGTGCCACCATGCCCAGCTGATTTTTTGTATTTTTAGTAGAGACGGGGTTTCACCATGTTGACCAGGATGGTCTCGATCTCTTGACCTCGTGATCCACCCGCCTCGGCCTCCCAAAGTGGTGGGATTACAGGCTTCAGCCACCGCGCCCGGCAAAGGCATTCCTTAAAGGCAGAAATGTAGATTCATAAGTATTTCATATCTCTCCATATACCTATCATAGGAGGATACATAATAGCTAGTTATCGAATGAATGGCTATGCCTCAATGCTTGAATTTCTTTCCTTATTTAAGAAAGTTAGGCCGGGTGCGGTGGCTCAAGCCTGTAATCCCAGCACTTTGAGGCCGAGGCGAGTGGATCACGACGTCAAGGGATCAAGACCATCCCGGTGAACATGGTGAAACCCCGTCTCTACTAAAAATACAAAAAAAATTAGCTGGGCATGGTGGCGCGTGCCTGTAATCCCAGCTACTCAGGAGGCTGAGGCAGGAGAATTGCCTGAACCCAGGAGGCGGAGGTTGCGGTGAGCCGAGATCGCGACATTGCACTCCAGCCTGGGTAACAAGAGTGAAACTCCATTTCAAAAAAAAAAAAAAAAAAGAGGCCGGGCGCGGTGGCTCAAGCTTGTAATCCCAGCACTTTGGGAGGCCGAGGCGGGCGGATCACGAGGTCGAGAGATCTAGACCATCCTGGTCAACATGGTGAAACCCCGTCTCTACTAAAAATACAAAAAATTAGCTGGGCATGGTGGTGCATGCCTGTAATCCCAGCTACTCAGGAGGCTGAGGCAGGAGAATTGCCTGAACCCAGGAGGCGGAGGTTGCGGTGAGCCGAGATCGCGCCATTGCACTCCAGCCTGGGTAACAAGAGTGAAACTCCATTTCAAAAAAAAAAAAAAAAAAAAAAAGAGGCCGGGCGCGGTGGCTCAAGCTTGTAATCCCAGCACTTTGGGAGGCCGAGGCGGGCGGATCACGAGGTTGAGAGATCTAGACCATCCTGGTCAACATGGTGAAACCCCGTCTCTACTAAAAATACAAAAAATTAGCTGGGCATGGTGGTGCGTGCCTGTAATCCCAGCTACTCAGGAGGCTGAGGCAGGAGAATTGCCTGAACCCAGGAGGCGGAGGTTGCGGTGACCCGAGATCGCGCCATTGCACTCCAGCCTGGGTAACAAGAGCAAAACTCCGTCTCAAAAAAAAAAAAAAAAAAAAAAAAAAAGAAAGTTGGCCGGGCACGGTGGCTCACGCCTGTAATCCAAGCACTTTGGAGACCAAAGCGGGCGGATCACCTGAGGTTGGGAGTTCAAGACCAGCCTGACCAACATGGTGAAACTCCATCTTTTTTTTTTTTTTTTTGAGACAAGAGTTTTGCCCGTGTTACCCAGGCTGGAGTGCAATGGCGCGATCTCGGCTCACCACAACCTCTGCCTCCTGGGTTCAGGCAATTCTCCTGCCTCAGCTTCCTGAGCAGCTGGGATTACAGGCATGTGCCACCATGCCCAGCTAATTTTTTGTATTTTTGGTAGAGACGGGGTTTCACCATGTTGACCAGGATGGTCTCGATCTCTTGACCTCGTGATCCACTCGCCTCGGCCTCCCAAAGTGCTAGGATTACAGGCTTGAGCCACCGTGCCCGGCTGAAACTCCATCTTTATTAAAAAAAGAAAAACAAAGTCAAGAAAAGAAGAAAGTACCTTGTTCAAAAGCACTGCTCACATTGTCAGTAAGTTCTTTCTGTTTTGCTGAAAGAGAAAACCAATCTCTTAATTTTTCCACTGAAATAGACTCATAATATGAAGACAATACTTTGTAATCTTGCTGGTTTGAACAAAACAAAGAAGGAAGTTTGGATTCAAGAGTAAGCCTTCATAACCTTTGTCTCTCTATGTACCATGACAGCAGCTGCTGTTTAGCACAACTTTGGTTGACCCTACTAACAATGTTTTTCTACCTATGACAGGTCTGAGGAGCAATCACCAAGACTTATAAAATGGCTATAGAATCATTAAAAAAAAAAAAACAAAAAAAAGAAGTTGCCGGGCGCGGTGGCTCAAGCCTGTAATCCCAGCACTTTGGGAGGCCGAGGCGGGTGGATCATGAGGTCAAGAGATCGAGACCATCCCGGTTAACATGGTGAAACCCTGTTTCTACTAAAAATACAAAAAAAAAAATTAGCTGGGCATGGTGGCACGTGCCTGTAATCCCAGCTACTCAGGAGGCTGAGGCAGGAGAATTGCTTGAACCCAGGAGGCGGAGGTTGCGGTGAGCTGAGATCGCGCCATTGCACTCCAGCCTGGGTAACAAGAGCGAAACTCTGTCTCAGAAAAAAAAAAAGAAGGACAAGGATATGCTTTGATTATCTCCATGAAACAGTCTGAGTCTTCAAGATTTCAGCAAGGGAACATTCTGGGAACGCCTATGAGTAAAGCACAACAAAGTGTTTCCAGCAACCACCTGCAAACTGTATAGCCTTTCAGGAAAATGAAAACATTTATGTTATGTTGTGTCATAAGAGAGAAGATGCCAAAGAAAATAAAGAAGCAGGGCTGGGCGTGGTGGCTCAAGCCTGTTATCCCAGCACTTTGGGAGGCCGAGGCAGGTGGATCACGAGGTCAAGAGATCGAGAGCATCCTGGTCAACATGATGAAACCTCGTCTCTACTAAAAATACAAAAAATTAGCTGGGCATGGTGGCGCGTGCCTGTAATCCCAGCTACTCAGGAGGCTGAGGTAGGAGAATTGCCTGAACCCGGGAGGCGGAGGTTGTGGTGAGCCGAGATCGCGCCATTGCACTCCAGCCTGGGTAATGAGAGCGAAACTCCGTTTCAAAAAAAAAAAAAAGCAGCAGCTATCTCATATTTCTCATTTGTTAGAAAATGAGGACTTTTCCAACAGTTGCACTTTCCAGACATAAATAGTACCAGTCATTTATATGGTGTCTTCTTTCGAAGCACTGTCACATACACTATATCCCCAAGGTAGGCAATGACAGGTATTGAGGAAATTAATAGAAGAGCTGGAAACAGAATCCAAGTCACTTGACTCCTGGTCCAGTGTGGTCCAGTGTTTGAAACTCACCTCTCAGGTAGCAATGTGGTGTCCACTTAAGAACGGACTAGGAACCTGGAGGTTCTTAAGCCCTGACCCTAAAATTAACTAGCTGTATGCCCTTGAACATTTATTTTACCTGGGCTGTAGCAGGTACCTTAAGGAAAAAATTTAGGAATTAATCTAAATTAAGTTTAGTGAATTGCTCAAAGTCAAATGTTTACTATACGGCTGGAGTAAGCGTTTTTTGTATTTATTTATTTATTTTTTTAGTAGAGACGAGGTTTTACCATGTTGGTCAGGCTGTTCTCGAACTCCTGACCTTGTGATCCACCCGCCTCAGCCTTCCAGGTGTGAGCCACCGTGCCCAGGCTTTTTTTTTTTTTAAAGGTAGTCAAGTGAAAGAGTGGGAGGTTTTTTGTATTTTTATTTTTGTATATATATGTATTTTGAGATGGAGTTTCACTTGTTGCCAAGGTTGGAGTGCAATGGCACGATCTCAGCTCACTGCAACCTCCGCCTCCCAGGTACAAACAGTTCTCCTGCCTTACCCTGTGGAGTTGCTGGGATTACAGGCACGCCAGGCTAATTCTGTATTTTTAGTGCAGATGGGGTTTCGCCATGTTGGTCAGGCTGCTTTTGAACTCCTGACCTCAGGTGATCCACCCATCGACGCCTCCCAAAGTGCTGGGATTACAGGCATGAGAAAAGCATCTGGCCCAGGCTGGAGTACAGTGGCCCAATCTCAGCTCACTGCAACCTCCACCTCTCAGGTTTAAGCGATTCTCCTACCTTAGCCTCCCAAGTAGCTGGGATTACAGTTATGTGCCACCATGCCTGGCTAGTTTTCTATTTTTTTTTTTTTTTTGAGACGGAGTTTCGCTCTTGTTACCCAGGCTGGAGTGCAATGGCACGATCTCGGCTCACCGCAACCTCTGCCTCCTGGGTTCAGGCAATTCTCCTGCCTCAGCCTCCTGAGTAGCTGGGACAACAGGCATGTGCCACCATGCTCGGCTAACTTTTGTATTTTTAGTAGAGACAGGGTTTCACCATGTTGACCAGGATGGTCTCAAACTTCCAACCTCAGGTGAACACTCGCCTTAGCCTCCCAAAGTGCTGGGATTACAGGCGTAAGCCACTGCACCTGGCCCATTATGTACTCTTTACATTCATTTTTCACTTATCCTTGGACAAGTATTCATAATAGCAATGAAATATAGTCAGTGCTGTTTTATCTTTCACCTCTGACAATGGATTCAATCTCTTTCATGGCAGCTTCACTTTCAGCTTCTGCGAGCTTCTCATTGATTTCCATTATTTCCATCAGGAATTGCATGTCCATTTCATAATCTGTCCTTTCAGGAATCTCTATTCCACGGAGCTTTAGCTATTGGGGCAGAAAGTAAGAAAAATAAGTTGAAGAAACTATGGGCAGAATAATGTAAATCCTACTCATCCCTTAGGAAATAATACCACTCAGATAAAACTGGAACTGTCCCAATAATGAAGGAGGTTAGACTTGTTAAAAGCTTGGACTGGGCCGGGCGCGGTGGCTCACGCCTGTAATCCCAGCACTTTGGGAAGCCGAGGCGGGTGGATCACGAGGTCAAGAGATTGAGACCATCCTGGTCAACAGGGTGAAACCCAGTCTCTACTAAAAATACAAAAAATTAGCTGGGCATGGTGGCGCGTGCCTGTAATCCCAGCTACTCAGGAGGCTGAGGCAGAAGAATTGCCTGAACCCAGGAGGCGGAGGTTGCAGTGAGCCGAGATCGCGCCATTGCACTACAGTCTGGGTAACAAGAGCGAAACTCCGTCTCAAAAAAAAAAAAAAAAAGCTTGGACTGAAACAGAAATGCTGGGATGGAATTCCCACTTATGCTACGTGAAACTGTGTGACCTTGGCCTGACCTTGGGGTAGTCATGCCTCTACTCAGAGGTTGAACTAGATGTTTGTAAAGATTCTATTCAATTCTAAGATTTTCTAGAGGCTAAGATACTCTTGAGAGGAAAAAAAAAGCAAACCAGAAAAATCACTTTTTTTTTTTTTTTTTTTTGAGACGGAGTTTTGCTCTTGTTACCCAGACTGGAGTGCAATGGCGCGATCTCGGCTCACCGCAACCTCCGCCTCCCGGGTTCAGGCAATTCTCCTGCCTCAGCCTCCTGGGTAGCTGGGATTACAGGCACGTGCCACCATGCCCAGCTAATTTTTTGTATTTTTAGTAGAGACGGGGTTTCACCATGTTGACCAGGATGGTCTCGATCTCTCGACCTCGTGATCCACCCGCCTCGGCCTCCCAAAGTGCTGGGATTACAAGCTTGAGCCACCGCGCCCGGCCTTTTTTTTTTTTTGAGACAGAGTCTCACTCTGTCGCCAGGTGCCAGGCTGGAGTACAGTGGCACAATCTCGGCTCACTGCAACCTCCACCTCCTGGGTTCAGGCAATTCTCCTGCCTCAGCCTCCCGAGTAGCTGGGACTACAGATGTGCACCACCATGCCCAGCTAATTTTCATATTTTATTAGAGACGGGGTTTCACCATGTTGACCAGGATGGTCTTGATCTCTTGACCTCGTGATCCACCCGCCTTGGCCTCCCAAAGTGCTGGGATTACAGGCGTGAGCCACCATGCCCGGCCAAATCACTCTTAACTAAAAGTTACCATCATCAAATCGAAATTCATAAAAAAAAAATAGATAGAAGATCACAATTTAAAAACTGCAGGTGAGGCAAGTAATATATTCACAGAGAATATTCAGAGAAAATTTTATTTGTGCTTTGAGGCTAAATATCATTGGGTCCCTGGACTTTTTTTTTTTTTTCGAGAGGGTGCAGTGGTACAATCATAGCTGATTATAGCCTTAACCTCCAAGCTTCAAGTGATCCTCCTGCCTCAGCTTCCAGAGGAGCTGGGACTACAGGTGTGTGCCACCATGCCCAGCTAATTTTTGTATTTTTGTGTAGAGATGAGAGGTCTTCTTGTGTTGCCCAAGTCCTGAACTCCTGGGCTCAAGTGATTTGACCACCTCAATCTCCTAAAGTGCTAGGATTACAGATATGAGCCACCATGCCCGACCTCAAGCACTCTTCTGCTGAATCAAGGGGACACAGCTGTCCTATGCTATAATGGACATCAGGATGTCATGCAGAGAAGGGTTGGGAAATCACCTTACAAGGTACAGTCCTCTGCTCAGGGGGGACAGCAGGGTCTTATAGGCATCGTTCACCAGGGTTGAATGCTTCTCCGAGAAGTCTTTTTCAGTCTGTTAGTGGAGATGAAGATACTATTACCATCTAAATCACAAAGTCTTTTTTCTTTTATTTTTTTTTGAGACAGTTTCGCTCTTGTTACCCAGGCTGGAGTGCAATGGCGCAATCTCGGCTGACCACAACCTCTGCCTCCTGGGTTCAAGCAATTCTCCTGCCTCAGCCTCCTGAGTAGCTGGGATTACAGGCACGTGCCACCATGCCCAGCTAATTTTTTGTATTTTTAGTAGAGATGGGGTTTCACCATGTTGACCAGGATGGTCTCGATCTCTTGACCTCGTGATCCACCCACCTCTGCCTCCCAAAGTGCTGGGATTACAGGCTTGAGACACCGTGCCTGGCCCTTAATTTTTGTATTTTTAGTAGACACAGGGTTTCGCCATGTTAGCCAGGCTAGTCTCGAACTCCCGACTTCAAGTGATCTGCCTGCCTTGGCCTCCCAAAGTGCTGGGATTACAGACATAAGCCACTGCGCCCAGCCCACAAAATTTTATAATATGCTGATAGGCAGGCACCTAAGGAAGTGATTAAGTAGAGCTGGTGTGGGATTAGGTGTCTTTATATTCAGCCGATTAAGTTTTAAGTTATCTGGGAAATCAGACAAAAGCTGTGAGTGAATGAGAGCTCTGGGTCTGGCAGGCTGGGTCAGACTGCCATGGGCAGATGGAGCTGATTTTCCAGCTCCGTCCCTGATAATCACATAGCCACAAGACCACTGCTACCTGGTATGCACACATATTTGGGGATTATTGGGGTTGGCCAATAAGCTACCTGAGACCTCTGGCTGAAGAAATCTGGGTGGACAAGACGCTGCAGTTGCTGGTACCTGTGCTGGAGCTTCACAGTATCAACTCGGAAGGAACAGTTGCTGGAAGGAAATTGGGAGATGAAATTTATGCGCCAAATTTTAAAGATTTGTCTACCATGAGCCTGGTTCTTGCTCTTAGGGGGAAGATGCACTAAACATATAAACAGATAATTTCAAAAAGTGGTAGGTGCTATGAAGGGACACAGAACAGAGTCAGAGAGGGTAGCAGATATAGTGGACAAAGAGATGGCATTAAGCTGAAATTGGAATGATGATGAGTAATCAAAGATCAGAACAAGGAATCATCCAGGTAGAATTCCAAGAGCAAGGACCTAGAGGTGAGAGCAAGATGGGGATGCTGAGGAACTTAAAGATCAGTGTTATTGCAGCTCTTCACACATGTTCAGTGACTGGTGGGGGCAGATCCCATAGTTAAGGGATTCCTAAATTACACAGACAAAGATTCTTTGCTTGGCCAAACTTGTCAGATTTGTGGACCTTCTCCTAGGCCCAGCTGTGTGCTCTCTTGTATAATCCAGTTTTGGCAAAGAACCTTGCTAAATCAGTTTAGCTACAATCCTCAATCCTCATATTTTGTCATCCTAGATCTCTGATTAGATTCTTCATCCTCTACCATCTTCCAGGAAGTGTCTGAGCACCCTGGCCTGTCTTTAGCAAGGATCCTGTTAGGTCGGTTAAGTCCGAATCCCGCTTACTCTGCTTCTTGGCTACAAATTCCCTCCTGGGCATGCTGTTTTTGGAGTTGGGACCAATCTCTCTCCCCCACTGCAAGACCGTATTGCAGTGGTCCCTCTACAAGATGGTCTTGAAGAAACTCTTCCTTCGGTGCTTGAACTAGTGTTACTGAATAATTTTTTTTTTTTTAAATACCACCCTATCTTTCCATAGTTCAGTTCCCTTTATCCCTGTCTCCCAGTTTATTTTAATCCAACCCCTTTCACTTTCTTTCTTTTTTTTTTTTTTGAGGCGGAGTTTCGCTCTTGTTACCCAGGCTGGAGTGCAATGGCGCGATCTCGGCTCACCGCAACCTCCGCCTCCCGGGTTCAGGCAATTCTCCTGCCTCAGCCTCCTGAGTAGCTGGGATTACAGGCACGCGCCACCACGCCCAGCTATTTTTTTTGTATTCTTAATAGAGACGGGGTTTCACCATGTTGACCAGGATGGTCTCGATCTCTTGACCTCGTGATCCACCCGCCTCGGCCTCCCAAAGTGCTGGGATTACAGGCTTGAGCCACCGTGCCCGGCTCCCCTTTCACTTTCTACTCCCAAAATCTGTCCTATTTCCTTACCAGTTCAGCTGTGTCCACACTGCCCCATCTCTCCAAGATCCTCAGCTTCAGGGGAAAAAAAACCCATGTATTGGACTCTCTCCCTCCAATTCTCACTTTTCCCTTAGGCCTCGCCCACAATATTAAGCTTTTCATGCTTTACTCCCCAATCTTGACCACACTTCTGCAGTCCTTTTTTTTCTTTTTTTGAGATGGGAGTCTCACTCTGTTGCCAGGGTGGAGTGCAGTAGCGCCATCTCAGCTCACTCCAATCTGCCTCCCGGGTTCAAACCATTCTCCTGCCTCAGCCTCCCGAGTAGCTGGGATTACAGGCGCGCACCATCACACCCAGCTAATTTTTTGTATTTTTAGTAGAGATGGGGTTTCACCATGTTGACCAGGATGGTCTTGAACTCCTGATCTCAGGTAATCCGCCCGTCTCGGCCTCCCAAAGTGCTGGGATGACAGGCGCGAGCCACCGCGCCCGGCCTGCAGTTCTTTCTTAAAAACATCAACCCAACTTTAAACCTTCCAGACACTATCATTCAAGTCTTCCAGTCTCCCAAGTCTTCCTGGCCCTCAAGTACCCTTTCCTCAAACTCCGCCCCTCGACTTCTCCTGCGCTTTCTCGTCGGTTCCGCCCCTCAAATCTCCCTCCACGGTAGCCTCGGCCCCACTCTTTCCTCTCACTTCAGTGCCCGCCCCTCCAGTCCCGTTCCTCTCCCTTCTCCACACCTCCACGCTGCATCCCTCAGTCCCGCCTCTCAATTTCCTCCTGAGAAATCAAGACACTTCTCTAACGCCTGCTCTCCAACCTCCGCCCCCCCTATGAGTTCCGCCTTCTCTTCCGCAAGCCAGCTCCGCCCTCCCCTCTCGCAGGCCAGCCCCGCGACGTCTCTCTCGCTCAGGCAGGTTTTCCGAAACCGTCGCTCGTACCAGTCCATGAGGCTGAAGTAGTCTCGAGTGGGGTCAGGTGCCTGCAGCGCTCGGCACTGTGGGCAGAAGAACCCGTTCTCCCGCCCAGGGCCCCCTGGGCTGCCGCAGTTCCAACAGCTGGGCGAATTGCTTCCCGCCTGCGACGCAGCATCGCAGCTTAGCGGTCTCCTTCCGGGAATCCCTGTCGGCCAGAACCCCCACACCCGGAGCAAAGCCCCAGCTCTCCGCCGCCACATCTGGCCGGCGACCTATCTAGCGGCGGTCACTCACCGGGAAAAGCAGAGAGAGTGGCCAACCAGACTAATGCTGCTGATTGGCTGGGGAGTCGAGGGGGCGGGATCAACCTAGGGGAACCTGGGTTCTGAGTTCCGCTCTGCCTTCTAAACTACAACTCCCAGGAAGCATTGAGGCGACGCCTGACGACCACATCTGCTGCTTCTCATTGGTCCGGCGGCAGGGGAGGGCGTTTTGATTGGCTGAGGGTGGAGTTTGTATCTGCAGGTTTAGCGCCACTCAGCTGGCTGAGGCTGCGGAGAGTGTGGGGCTCCAGGTGGGCTCACGCGGTGAGTCATATGGGGAACCTCTGTTGGGTGTTAGGTGGTTCGAATCCCATCCTCAGCGTTTTGTGCGAGGGGAGTCTCCTGAGCTTCGCTTTGTTTGTATTTTTGAGCTGAAGGGGGAGTGTGTGGGCGACTCTCTTCCTTTTTAGCAGATCATCCTCGAGGTGAAGTTTACTTCCCGTGTTACTTGCAAGCTGAAACAGGCCTGAACGTACAGGATAAGAAGGAACAGAGTTGTGTTCTTCAATATCAGAACGAAGTTACTTTGTAAAAAGTTCTACAGATGTTTGTATTCATTGCCATTCTTTAGGTTCAATATCTAAAATACTTAGAGAGAGACCAGTCTTAGCTACTGGGCGCTGCAGGAACTGGAAACGCACTGAGCTGTGTAGGATGATGTTCTGCAAGTGTCCCTAAGTGTATGGGATGGGGTGGCCAGGAGTGGGTAGGAGGACATCAGTCCTCCTTCGGACTCAGGTTTTCTAGTTGAAAAAAAGATGGTATTTCACTTGTAAGTCCTCTCGATTTTTTTTTTTAAATTATTTATTTGTGATATAAAATATACATATATGATTTGCCATTTGTACCATTTTAAAGTATACAGTTCAGTGATGATAAGCACATATTATTTTCTTTTTCTTTTTCTTTTTTGAGACAGAGTTTTGCTCTTATTGCCCAGGCTGGAGTGCAATAGCGCAATCTCGGCCCACCGCAACCTCTGTCTCCTGGGTTCAAGCGATTCTCCTGCTTCAGCCTCCCTAGTAGCTGGGATTACAAGCATTTGACACCACAGCTGGCTAATTTTGTATTTTTAGTAGAGACGGGGTTTCTCCATGTTGGTCAGGCTGATCTTAAACTCCCGACCTCAGGTGACCCTCCTGCCTCGGCCTCCCAAAGTGATGAGATTGCTCCACCTAAGCTGGAGTGCAGTGGTGCGATCTTAGCTTACTGCAACCTCCGTCTTCTGGGTTCAAGCAGTTCTCGTGTCTCAGCCTCCCAGGTAACTGGACTACAGGCACGAGCCACCATGCCCAGCTAATTTGTATTTTTTTTTGAGACAGAGTTTCGCTCTTGTTACCCAGGCTGGAGTGCAGTGGCGCGATCTCGGCTCACCGCAACCTCTGCCTCCTGGGTTCAGGCAATTCTCCTGCCTCAGCCTCCTGAGTAGCTGGGATTACAGGCATGTGCCACCATGCCCAGCTACTTTTTTTTTTTTGTATTTTTAGTAGAGACGGGGTTTCATCATGTTGACCAGGATGGTCTCGATCTCTCGACCTCGTGATCCACCCGCCTCGGCCTCCCAAAGTGCTGGGATTACAGGCTTGAGCCACCGCACCCGGCCTAATTTGTATTTTTAGTAGAGATGCAGTTTGGCCATATTGGCCAGGCTGGTCTTGAACTCTTGACCTCATGTGATCCACCTGCCTCAGCCTCCCAAAGTGCTGGGATTACAGATATGTCCGCCTGCCTCGGCCTTCCAAAGTGCCGGGATTACGGAAGTGAGCCACCGTGCCCGGCCTGCCCATGTCTTAGATTGGATTATTTGTCTTTTTGCAGTTGAGTTATTTCATCTCCTTATACATTCTGGTTATTCATCTCTTGTCAGATAGCTAGTTTCCCAATGTTTTTTCCCATTCTGTGGGTTGTCTCTTCACTTTGTTGATTGTTTCCTTTGCTATGCAGAAGCTTTTTAGCTTGATGAAATCCCAGTTGTCTGTTTTGCTTTAGTTGCCTGTGCTTTTGAGGTGTTGTGCAAAAAACCTGAGCTCAGACAATGTCCTGAAGCACTTCTCCAGTGTTTTTTTTTTGAGACGGAGTTTCGCTCTTGTTACCCAGGCTGGAATGCAATGGCGCGATCTCGGCTCACCACAACCTCAGCCTCCTGGGTTCAGGCAATTCTCCTGCCTCAGCCTCCTGAGTAGCTGGGATTACAGGCATGCGCCACCATGCCCAGCTAATTTTTTGTGTTTTTTGTAGAGACGGGGTTTCACCATGTTGACCAGGATGGTCTTGATCTCTTGACCTCGTGATCCACCCGCTTCGGCCTCCCAAAGTGCTGGGATTACAGGCGTAAGCCACCGTGCCCAGACCTTTTTTTTTTTTTTTAAAGATGGGGTTTTACCATGATGGCCAGGCTGGTTTTGAACTCCTGACCTCAGGTGATCCACCCACCTCGGCTTCCCAAAGTGCTAGGATTACAGGGGTGAGCCACCATGCCCGGCCTCTCCAGTGTTTTCTTCTAGTAGTTTTATAGGTTTTGGGACTGGGCTTCTGTTTATAGTCCTGGAGTTTTGCTTCCCTCACTTTGGCTTTTCACTCACTACTCTGCATGGCTTTCCAATAATAATATCTCCCAGATAGCAAGTACGGGTGGGTGTGGGGAGTATTACATGCATCACTTCACTTAATCCTCACCATCTGTCTACTTTTTTTCAGATGAGAAAACAGGCTTAGAGAAGTTGTGATCTACCTGAAGTCATGCACAGTTTGATTCAAGTGTCTGATCTGCTTGTCTCTAATCTCTCATAGCAGCTTGTTGACAGATTTTCGCCAGTTGTCCTGTCTTGCTCAAAAAGCTGTGGGGAAGACTCAGCCTGGCTGAGGTAGTATTAGACCAGCAGGCCCTGGAGCAGCTCATTCAGTTGTGGTATTGCCTTCCTGGTATGTTTTAAGGAAAACTCATCAGAACCTTTGTATCTTTTTTTTTTTTTCCCCCTTGAGACAGGGTCTTGCTCTGTTGCCCAGGCTGGAGTGCAGGCTCAATCACAGCTCACTGCAGCCTCAACCTCTTAGGCTCAAGTGATCCTCCCACCTCAGCCTTCCAAGTAGCTGGGATTACTGGTGTATACCACCATGCCCAGCTAATTTTTTGTGTTTTCTGTAGATACTGGGCCTTACCATGGTGCTAGGCTGGTCCCGAATTCCTGGGCTCGAGCCATTCCGCCTGCCTTGGCCTCCTAAAGTGCTGTGATTACAGGCATGAGCCACCACACCTGGCAGAACCTTTGTATCTTTAAAGCTTTGTAAATACAGTCAGCGTGGGTATCCTAGTCCCTCCTTATCAGTAATAGTAGTTCCAGTTACCAATGGTCAGCTGGGATCAGAAATATTAAGTGGAAAATTCAGAAGTTTTCATTTATTTATTTATTTATTTATTTTTGAGATGGAGTTTCGCTCTTGTTACCCAGGCTGGAGTGCAATGGCGTGATCTTGGCTCATCGCAACCTCCATCTCCTGGCTTCAAGCAATTCTCCTGCCTCAGCCTCCCGAGTAGCTGGGACTATAGGCACGTGCCACCATGCCCAGCTAATTTTTGTATTTTTAGTAGAGACGGCGTTTCACCATGTTGGCCAGGATGGTCTCGATCTCTTGACCTCGTGATCCACCCGTCTCAACCTCCCAAAGTGCTGGGATTACAGGCGTGAGCCACCGGGCCCGGCTCAGAAGTTTTCATAAGAAATATTCAATTCAGGGCCAGGCTTGGTGGCTCATGCCTATAATCCCAACAATTTGGGAGGCTGAGGTGGGTGGATCACCTGAGGTCAGGAGTTTGAGACCAGCCCGGCCAAAACAGTGAAACCCTGTCTGTACTAAAAGAAAGTATACAAATTAGCCAGGCATTGTGGTGTGTGCCTGTAATTCCAGCTACTTGGAAGGCTGAGGTAGGAGAATTGCTTGAATCCAGGAGGTAGAGGTTGCAGTGAGCCAAGATCGCACCACTGCACTCCAATCTGGGTGACTGAGTGAGACTGTCTCAAAAAAGAAAAAAAAAAAGTCTTAAATTATGTGGTTTTGCAATGCTTTTTTAAAGTCACCCTTATATTTAATAATGGCCCCAAAGCCAGAGATGCTGGCAGTTTGGATATTGCAAAGAGAAGCTGTAAAGTGTTTCCTTTAACGAAAGGGTGAAAGATCTCAACTTAATAAGGAAAGAGCTGGGCACGGTACCTCATGCCTATAATCCCAGCACTTTGAGAGACTGAGGTGGCTGGATCACCTGAGGTCTGGAGTTCGAAACCAGCCTAACCAACAAGGAGAAACCCTGTCTCTACTAAGAATACAAAATTAGCTGGACGTAGTGGCACATGCCTGTAATCTTAGCTACTCGGGAGCCTGAGGCAGGGGAATCACTTGAACATGGGAGGTGGAGGTTGCGGTGAGCCGAGTTCATGCCATTGCACTCCAGCAGGACGACAAGATCAAAACTCAATCTCAAAAAAAAAAAAAAAAAAGGGAGGAAAGAAAAGAATTGTATGCTGAGGCTGGTAACGTCTGTGGTAAGAACAATCTTCTATTTGTGAAGTTGTGAAGAAGGAAAAAGAAAGTTGTGCATAGTTTATATTCTCTATTATAGTAGAGACGGCGTTTCACCATGTTGGCCAGGATGGTCTCGATCTCTTGACCTCGTGATCCACCCGTCTCAACCTCCCAAAGTGCTGGGATTACAGGCTTGAGCCACCGCGCCTGGTGCAGCTACATAATTATAAGTAAACAATACTATTGTAGTCCCTACTATCAGAGGGGGAATAATTATAAGTTGGAAGAGAATGTCCTCTCCTCACACTTTTTTTTTGTTAATCTGATTAAGTCAGCAGTGGACATTACTCTGGTTTTACTGGTGGTTCTGCTGTATGAGTCTTGTTTTGTTTTCTGTTCTTTGGAGATAGGGTCTCACTCTGCCACCCAGGGTGGTGTGTAAGTGGTATGTTCATAGCTCACTGCAGTCTTTCCTGGGGTCAAACAGTCTTCCCACCTCACCTTCCCAAGTAGCTGAGGTCACAGCTGCATGCCACCATGCCTAATTTTCTTATTTTTTTGTGCAGAGGAGGTCCTACTATGTTGGCCAAGCTGGTATTGAACTTGTGGCCTCAAGTGATCCTCTTGCTTTGGCCCCCAAAGTGCTGGGATTATAGGTATGAGCCACTGCACCCAGCCTGTTATGAGAGCCTACCTGTCCATCAGGTTAATTCCTTTTTTGTTTTTATTTTTTATTTTTGAGATGGAGTCTTACTCTGTCTCCCAGGCTGGAGTACAGTGGCGCGATTTCGGCTTACTACAATCTCTACCACCTGGATTCAAGCAATTCTGCCTCAGCCGCCTGAGTAGCTGGGATTACAGGCGCCTGCTACTGCACCCGGCTAATTTTTGTTGTTTTAATAGAGATGAGGTTTCACCATCTTGGCCAGGCTGGTCTTGAACTCCTGACCTCATGATCCACCCACCTCAGTCTCCCAAAATGCTGGGATTACAGGGGTGAGCCACTGGGCTCAGCCCCAGCAGATTAATTCTAAGACAAGGTGGGGAGACTCTGTTATGGTCTCATTTATAAAAGAATGGTTCCTGCAAGTTTCCATCAAGGCTGGAAGGGCATTTAGGAGGCTGAAAAGATGAGCCCTATAGTTACTTAGCATCACAAAGGGATAGGTGGAGTTGTTTAGAACTGTCTTCCTTTGTGTTGTGCCTCATTAAGTAGTTGATTCCTTAGGTGACAGGGAATCTAGATTGAGCAAGCAGGTGTATTTCCCTTTAGGAGCAAGCCTGGGGGGAAAAGGGTACCAGTGACATTTTATTTAAATGGACCCTTTGAAGTAAGGCAGCAGGTTATTTTACAATTTCTTTTTGACTTCTACTCCAAGTCACCTCATTCTTTGTCTTCTTTCTCTTTCCAAAACCACAGATGCTCCTTAACTTTAATGACACTATGTCTAAATAAGCCCATTCTAAGTTAAAAATATTGTTAAATTGAAAATACATTTAATACACCTAACATACCAAACATAGTTTAGCGTAGTCTACTTTAAATGTGCTCATAATGTAGCAGGAAAGGCCGAAAAACAAACTTTTCAAACACCGAACTGGAAAGAAAGGGGTGATTTATTCAGCCTGGAGCAGCTGCTGCAGGGATGCCTAATAGCATAGTTGCCTAACAGCTGGGCTCCCCATCAGAGAAAATCCTTGCCCTTTTAAAGGCTTACAACTCTAGAAATTACATGTGAAAGGGTCTTGATCCATGAAGTAGGCATAAGGTATATGACTTAGTTGGGGTTTGATGGGGTGTAAGTAAAAACAATGCCGTCCAAAAAGATTCCTCCATACCAAGGCTGTGACCCTTTGGAGTGTGATTAAGGGTGGCACCTGGGTCTGCCAGCCTTTACTTCTACTAAAATGCAATGTAGAAGTCTAGGGGGAAGGGCACTTAGAAGCTTAAGAGCTTTAAGGGTCTCCTTCCTCAAGAACACTTACATTTGCCTACAGTTGGCCAAAATTATCTAACACAAAAATTCTTATTCTTCTTATTATTATTTTGTAGAGGTGGGGTCTCAAACACCTGCCCTCAAGCAATCCTTCCACTTCCGCCTCCCAAAGTTTTGGGATTACAGGTGTGAGTTGGTGTACCTAGCCTATTTTATTTTTTTATTTTATTTTGTTTTATTTATTTTTGAGATGAAGTCTTGCTCTTGTTGCCCATGCTGGAGTGCAGTGATGCGATCTTGGCTCATTGCAACCTTCACCTCCTGGGTTCAAGTGATTCTCCTGCCTCAGCCTCCTGAGTAGCTGGGATTACAGGCATGTGCCACCATGCCTAGCTAATTTTGTATTTTTAGTAGAGATGGGTTTTCTCCATATTGGTCAAGTTGGTCTTGAACTCCCAATCTCAGGTGATCCGCCCACCTGGGCCTCCCAAAGTGCTGGGATTACAGGTGTGAACCATCATGCCCAAGCAATTTTATCTGTTTATTTTGAGACAGGGTTTCACTCCTATTACCCAGACTGGAGTGCAGTGGCGCCATCTCAGCTCACTGCAACCTCCATCTCCTGGGCTCAAGCGATTCTCCTGTCTCAGCCTCCTGAGTAGCTGGGACTACAGGCGTATGCCCCCACACCCCAGTAATTTTTGTATTTTTAGTGGAGACAGGGTTTCGCTATGTTGACCTGGCTGGTCTTGAACTCCTGACCTCAGGTGATCTGCCTGCCTCGGCCTCTGAAAGTTCTGGGATTACAGGTGAGCCACTGCGCCCCGCCACCTGGCCTATTTTATTTTATTTTATTTTTTTTTTGAGGCGGAGTTTCGCTCTTGTTACCCAGGCTGGAGTGTAATGGCGCGATCTCCGCCTCCTGGGTTCAGGCAATTCTCCTGCCTCAGCCTCCTGAGTAGCTGGGATTACAGGCAGGTGCCACCATGCCCAGCTGATTTTTTGTATTTTTAGTACAAACGGGGTGTCACCATGTTGACCAGGATGGTCTCGATCTCTTGACCTCGTGATCCACCCGACTCAGCCTCCCAAAGTGCTGGGATTACAGGCTTGAGCCACCGTGCCCGGCCACCTGGCTTATTTTATAATAAGGCATTAAATACCTAATGTGATTCTGTACAGTTGAATACTGTACTGAAAGTGAAAGCCAGAATGATTGTGTAAGGACTTGGAGGAAGTAGATTTCTTTTGAATTGCTTTCACAGAAAGTCTATAAAATTTGTTCAATAGAAGCATCATTAAATTGACAACTATATATATGAAATTTAAATTTAGTGTTGAGTGTATCAATACATTTTTAATTTAGTTTTAATTTTAAAAATTTGGACAAGGCCGGGCGCAGTGGCTCACGCTTGTAATCCCAGCACTTTGGGAAGCCGAGGCAGGTGGATCACGAGGTCAAGAGATCGAGACCATCCTGGTCAACATGGTGAAACCCCGTCTCTACTAAAAATACAAAAAATCAGCTGGGCATGGTGGCAGGTGCCTGTAATCCCAGCTACTCAGGAGGCTGAGGCAGGAGAATTGCCTGAACCCAGGAGGCGGAGGTTGCAGTGAGCCGAGATCGCGCCATTGCACTCCAGCCTGGGTAACAAGAGCGAAACTCCGTCTCAAAAAAAAAAAAAAATTGGACAAATGAAAGCTTGTATGAGCCCCTCTAGCTCAATTTTATTGCTTTTTACTTATTTGTAATCTCCAAATAACTTGTTTTTCCCTTGTTGTGTATGGCTGTCCAACAAAAAAACTGATCTGGTGACCATGATCTGGTGAAAAGCTCAGCCCAGAACAACTATAGGTCTGGACTGTTAAGACTTTTAATTTTTGGAGAGCACATTTGCCCTGGGTTTTTTTTCCATTTTTTTCCTTCTTTTTTTTTTTTTTAAGACGGAGTTTCGCTCTTGTTACCCAGGCTGGAGTGCAATGGCGCGATCTCGGCTCACCGCAACCTCCGCCTCCTGGGTTCAGGCAATTCTCATGCCTCAGCCTCCTGAGTAGCTGGGATTACAGGCACATGCCACCATGCCCAGCTTATTTTTTTTGTATTTTTAATAGAGACGGGGTTTCACCACGTTGACCAGGATGGTCTCGATCTCTTGACCTTGTGATCCACCTGCCTCGGCCTCCCAAAGTGCTGGGATTACAGGCTTGAGCCACTGCACCCGGCCTTTTCTTTTGCTGTTGTAGTATGCTTATCATTTTCTTTTTAAGTCTTATGCCTTGAAACTCACCTTTCTTGTTGGACCCTTCCTTTTTGAGGTCGTGATGTCTCGAGAGACGGATGTGGAGGCTCAGCAGTCCCATGGCAGCAGTACCTGTTCACAGCCCCAAGGCAGCGTTACCCAGTCCCAAGGCTTCTCCTCACAGTCCCAGGGCACATCGAGCTCCTCTACCAGCACTGTGCCAAACTCAAGCCAGTCCTCTCACTCCAGCTCTGGGACACTGAGCTCCTTAGAGACAGTGTCCACTCAGGAACTCTATTCTATTCCTGAGGACCAAGAACCTGAGGACCAAGAACCTGAGGAGCCTGCCCCTGCCCCCTGGGCTCGATTATGGGCCCTTCAGGATGGATTTGCCAATCTTGGTAAGACCCTTTGTTATATAGTATGAAGTTTTGTTCAGAAAAACAGTTACAGAAAGTCGTTGTGTTACTGCATGGGTGTTTGGCATGTTGAACAAATAATTGAACATCATGCATGAACAAGCAATGAAAGCATAAATTTATTTATTTATTTATTTATTTATTTTTTGAGGCGGAGTTTCACTCTTGTTACCCAGGCTGTAGTGCAATGGCGCGATCTCGGCTCACCGCAACCTCTGCCTCCTGGGCTCCGGCAATTCTCCTGCCTCAGCCTCCTGAGTAGCTGGGATTACAGGCACGCGCCACCATGCCCAGCTAATTTTTTGTATTTTTAGTAGAGACGGGGTTTCACCTTGTTGACCAGGATGGTCTCGATCTCTTGACCACATGATCCACCCGCCTCGGCCTCCCAAAGTGCTGGGATTACAGGTGTGAGCTTATTTATTTTTTTGAGACGGAGTTTCGCTCTTGTTACCCAGGCTGGAGTGCAATGGCGCGATCTTGGCTCACCGCAACCTCCGCCTCCTGGGTTCAGGCAATTCTCCTGCCTCAGCCTCCTGAGTAGCTAGGATTACAGGCAGGAGCCATCATGCCCAGCTAATGTTTTGTATTTTTAGTAGAGACGGGGTTTCACCATGTTGACCAGGATGGTCTCGATCTCTTGACCTCGTGATCCACCCACCTTGGCCTCCCAAAGTGCTGGGATTACAGGCTTGAGCCACCGCGCCTGGCGAAAGCGTAAATTTATTGAAGTGGAAGACAATTGAAGCTAAAGTACACATCACAGAATGGGAGCAGGCCTGAGCAAGTGGCTGCACATCTCTGGTAGCAAAGTCTTCTGGGGTTCAAATACCCTCTGGAGGTCTCCCATCGGTTACATCCTATGTAAATGAAGGGCTGGCTCACAGTCAATTAGAGGCCAATCCAAGGCTGGTGTGGATTGGTGCCTCATGCAAATGAAGGTCCTAGAATGGACCAATCATAGGCTAGAATGCAAGTTTTTCCTATTTATTTAGTTCCAGGAAATTTTTTTTTTTTTGAGACAGAGTCTTGCTCTGTCACCCAGAATGGAGCGGCTTGACTCACTGCAACTTCTGACTCCTGGGTTCAAGTGATCTCTCCTGTCTCAGCCTCCCGAGTAACTGGGATTATAGATGCTCACCACCACACCCGGCTAATTTTTGTATTATGTTTAGTAGAGATGGGGTTTCACCATGTTGGCCAGGCTGATCTCACTCCTGACCTCAAGTGATCAGCCCACCTTGGCCTCCCAAAGTGCTGGGATTACAGGCATGAGCCACTGACCTTGGCTGTTCAGGAAGTTTGCGTAAATTGGCAAATTCACACAAACCCTATTTTCCTGCCTTAGTTAGTTGCAGCATAATGCTTGATCCACTCTTGGAATGATTCTGGAGTTTGAAGGTGATGAAAGGTAAAACTGAAGAGGCAGTGTTGGGTGTTGCACTGGCTGTTACCTGCTGTGGATTCCCTTCATTTATTCTTTCAACAAATATTAATTGGACATTTACAATGTGCTGTCCGTCCAAGGATCTGAAGGTAGCTTTGGACCCTTTCCTTAGAAAAATGCAGATTCACGCAAACTTGCAAACATCACCTAATCACAAAAGCTTCACCAGTTAACCTCTGCTGTGGTTTGCCATGGCTTCAGAGAATCAGAGCTGTTCAGCATAGAGATGGCTATTTGTTGACACTTCTTATTTGTTCTTATCTCAATGGCCAACCTTGTGATTTAAATATGTTGACACTTTCTGACACCTCCTGGTTTCAATGGTAAGTCTTCCCTATGCGTATTTTAAAATTGCCAGGCATGGTGGCTTACGCCTGTAATCCCAGCACTTTGGGAGGCCAAGGCGGGAGGATCACTTGAGGCCGGGAGATTGAGACCAGCCTGGGCAACATGGCAAAACCCTGTCTCTGCTGAAAATATAAAAAGTAGACCAGGCGCGGTGGCTCAAGCCTGTAAACCCAGCACTTTGGGAGGCTGAGGTGGGTGGATCATGAGGTCAAGAGATCAAGACCATCCTGGTCAACATGGTGGAACCCCATCTCTACTCAAAATACAAAAAATTAGCTGGGCATGGTGGCGCGTGCCTGTAATCCCAGCTACTCAGGAGGCTGAGGCAGGAGAATTGCTTGAATCCAGGAGGCGGAGGTTGCGGTGAGCCGAGATCGCGCCATTGCACTCCAGCCTGGGTAACAAGAGCGAAACTCCGTCTCAAAAAAAAAAAAAAAGAAAATATAAAAAGTAGCCAGATGTGTGGCGATGGGTGGCTGTAATCGCAGCTAGTCAGGAAACATGAGAATCACTTGAACCCAGGAGGGGGAGGTTGCAATGAGCCAATATTGTGCCACTGCACCAGTCAAAGTATAGTATTTGTTTTCCTTTCTCTTACATTAAGATGACCTCTTCACTAAACAGATTTGAACCTGGCTTTAATAGGATAGAATATATTATTATAAAGAAATTAAGGGCTGATGTCTCATTTTGTGTTTCGTCACCCACCATCCTTGTTTTATTTCATGTCCAATTTTGATGTCTTGAAAAAAATGTACAAAATGGAGAAACAGTATACCTGCATTCCACATCTATAACTTTAAATTTAGAAGTAGACGCTTGAAGCTATTTTTTACCCATTTAAAATATAGTTTTCAGGCCGGGCATGGTGGCTCACACCTGTAATCCCAGCACTTTGAGAGGCCGAGGCAGATGGATCACCTGAGGTCAGGAGTTTGAGACCTGCTTGGCCAAGATGGGGAAACCCCATCTCTATTAAAACTACAGAAATTAGCAGGGTGTGTTGGCAGGTACCTATAATCCCAGCTACTCGGGAGGCTGAGGCAGGAGAATTGCTTGAACTTAGGAGGTGGAGGTTGCAGTGAGCTGAGATCACGCCATTGCACTCTAGCCTGGGTGACAGAGTGAGACTCTGTCTCCAAAATAAATAAATAAAATAAAATAAAATAAAATAAAATGTATATGAGACGGGCGTGGTGGCTCACAATTGTAATCCCAGCTTTTAGGGAGGCAGAGGTGGGAGGATAGCTTGAGCCCAGGAGTTTCAGAGCTGCTGGACAATATGGCAAGACCTCGTTCTCCACAAAAAGTGGGGGAAAGAAAAGACAAGTAAACAAAGGCCCTGATAGGATCACCAGCATAAGCTTATGTTGAATAGAGGCTGTTTATTATGATTATTTTTGAGACGAGTCTTGCTTTGTCACCCAGGCTGGAGTGCAGTGGTGTGATCTTGGCTCACTGCAAGCTCTGCCTCCTGAGTTCAAGTGATTATCCTGCCTCAGCCTCCCAAATAGCTGGGATTACAGGTACCCACCACCACGCCTGGCTAATTTTTGTATTTTTTTAGTAGGGATGGGATTTCACCTTGTTGGCCAGACTGGTTTCAAACTCCTAACCTCAGGTGATCCACTCTCCTCAGCCTCCCAAAGTGCTGGGATTACAGTGCCTGGCCTAGTTTTAGCTCTTAAGTTTAATTAAGGTCCTTTATTCATTTTGAGTTGAGTTTCATTTGTTTTTTTTTTTGAGACGGAGTCTCACTCACTCTGTCACCCAGGCTGGAGTGCAGCGATGCGATCTCGGCTCACTGCAGTGTCTGCCTCCCAGGTTCAAGTGATTCTTCTGCCTCAGCCTCCTAAGTAGCTGGGATTACAGGTGCTCCCTGACATGCCCAGCTAATTTTTATATTTTTAGTAGAGATGGGGTTTCACTATGTTGGCCAGACTGGTCTCAAACTCCTGACCTCAGGTGATCCGCCTGCCACAGCCTCCCAAAGTGCTGGAATTACAGATGTGAGCCAATGTGCCTGGACTAATTTTTTTTTTTTTAAGTACAATTTCCATTTTATTTTTCTCCAGAGAATAGTCTGTCTTCAGTCTTCAGTTCCTTACTTACATGGGTTTTGGTGGGGATCGTGGGGCAGCACCCACAGGTCTGAATCGGGGTGGTGGGGGTGTTGAGTTCTTGCGGGCTTCACGAGATCCATTCCTGACTACTTTGCTGTGAATTGCACAACTCACACAGTAATGTAGCTTCATATGCAGTTTGAGAAGCACATAGGCATCGAAGAAGCTTGCTTCAGATATCTACCTGACTGCTGTAGCCTCCACTATATTTCAAATGACGAATTTCTTTTTTTTTTTTTGAGTTTCGCTCTTGTTACCCAGGCTGAAGTGCAATGGCGCGATCTCGACTCACCGCAACCTCTGCCTCCTGGGTTCAAGCAATTCTCCTGCCTCAGTCTCCCGAGTAGCTGGGACCACAAGCATGTGCCACCATGCCTAGCTAATTTTTGTATTTTTAGTAGAGATGGGGTTTCACCATGTTGACCAGGATGGTCTCGATCTTTTGACCTCGTGATCCACCCGCCTCGGCCTCCCAAGGTGCTGGGATTATAGGCTTGAGCAACCGTGCCCGGCCCAAATGACGAATTTCTTTTTTTTTTTTTTTTTTGAGGCGGAGTTTCGCTCTTGTTACCCAGGCTGGAGTGCAATGGCGCAATCTCGGCCCACCGCAACCTCCGCCTCCTGGGTTCAGGCAATTCTCCTGTCTCAGCCTCCTGAGTAGCTGGGATTACAGGCACGCGCCACCATGCCCAGCTAACTTTTTGTATTTTTAGTAGAGATGGGGTTTCACCATGTTGACCAGGATGGTCTCGATATCTTGACCTCGTGATCCACCCGCCTCGGCCTCCCAAAGTGCTGGGTTTACAGGCTTGAGCCACCGCGCCCGGCCATGATGAATTTCTTAATGGCCTTGTCCTTGGGCACACATCGGGCACAATTCGTGCAGCGAATAGGCTGCATGTGGCCATGGCCCTTTTTGGCACGACCTTACTTTGTCATCTTGGAGGCACAGACTGGAGAGGGGACGGCCTAAGTATTTTATCTTTATTTTTTGTCAAGACGGAGTCTCGCTACGTTAACCTATATGATCTCAAACTCCTGTTGTCAACTGATCCTCCTGCCTC